ACAAGATTGGACTTGTTATTTGGGGAGTTTAGAATTCGCAGTGCAGACCGTGGGTTAAAATCCAAGTATCATACACACGTATCACTGAGATCCACCTTCCCTCATCAAGCTGACACACTGTGAGTAAATATTGCTTGACGCCGCAACAGCAAGTTTGCAGCCATTCGCCGCGAGAATTGTCTTTTGATGTACAGTATATCAAAAACAAAAGTGATGTTGATAATCACTCAGTCTCCTTCGCATGAAGGCTAACAAACTGACTGTTGAGATAAAATCTATATTTTGCCATTGTTTGATTTCTTTAACGTATGCTAAGACCAAGTGGTTAGAAACTGTCCTGTAAAGTATGATTCTACCATGGCTACGTGAAATGCTCGAATTTGATTGGTCAATCAATAAAATCAGACGGTATCTTGATTGAAAATGCGTCTGATTTCACGGCGCTTCACTGCGCACGTATACAACACTGCCGCACTACTTCAGCTTGGCCACCAACATGACTAATATCAACGCAACAGACGTGATTTATTAAAACTCGAAAAATACAATTATACGATTTCTCCTCCACAATTGTTAGGGAACCTCACTATCATAATTATTATCTTCTATTATAAAAATATTCAAACTCAATGTACAATAATACATCTCTAAACATTAACAAACAATATCTAACATATAAATCAGAAAACTTTGTAAAAATATATCCCTATCTATCCCTATTTGTGCGGCAAAACGTTCGTAAACATTTACCTACCTGGTAAATGGTATATTTCTGTTTCTGTTTAGAATGGGAAATTCGCAAGATAACGGTCAGGCGGAACACAAAAAATTATGCCACTCATACTCCATCATGTCCCGTTGCATCGTTCAAAATGTAAAAAAAAATTGAACCACGAGAATTTCGCCCTCTGCCACCTTCCCCGCAAGGCTGCCACTGCTATGTTCGTACATTTTGAAAGCTTGGCCACAATCCAGTCCAAAATGATGAGAACAATGTTCCAAGGAATCCCAAGTTAGTCGCATGTACACAAAGCAGCACTGTCACTCTTTCGTCGCATGCCGGGCGGGGTGGAGGCACGTATACATGAAATCATAATCGACACTCGCCGGTCATAAATATCAACAGTCTTTGATGAGTCACAGGTCATAGGTCGATCAGAAAAGGATGTATTCTTCGATTCTGCAGGGTTCAGGTTCGACAGTCAGTCAAGTATTTTCCCCTGTCACTTCGAATTTCAACCTTTCGCAAAATGTAAACACTAGCTCGTCCGCCATTTCAAACTGTAGCGTAACTGTCTACTTCCAAGAAATTAAGTAAGTCAGACGATTCCATTTTAGTGTGGCCAGGGGAGTACAGTAACACGGCATACAAAACAATAGGCTCGTTTCGGTCGTGTGGAGTTATGATTATAAAAATCAAGCTCTTAGGTGTTACATTATTGCATTGAATAAACAGTAGTTTGTTTTCTTTGGACAGAATATTTTTTTATGTTGCAATGTAAAAAAAATACGAACGGCACCTACCACTCCCTTCACAGACGAGTTCCATTCGCCTCTCGTCCCATGCTTGATTACGCAGTGTCTTCCGCAGGACGAGGAAGTTCGATGTTAAATCGGTTATGGTAGAATGGAGATAAACATACTGTGTTTGGAAATTAGATGAATGCTAGACTGAATTGATAGTCTCTAACTTAATCATTTGAAGCATCACGCTACGCGTTCGGCTTCAAATGAAATTTAGAGACTATCAATTCGGTCTAGCATTCATCTAATTTCCAAACACAGTACCTTTATCTCCTAAATATTACCATACAAACGTTAGCTCATGAGTGCGAAATAAAAACATCAAGCGAAGGGTGCTTGGTAGTAATTGGAGTGTTGCACGGGGGTACAGGACGAAGGATCTTTACCTTTCAACAGATATGAATGCGTGTAAAAACTGTGTCTACCGCTGCAACAGAAGTTCATCGTGGTGATGTAGACCAGAAAGAGGATGACCTCCAACCAGTGGCTTGAATCAAGCTTATTGGAAACCTAGTATCCCAGCTTTGTTGCCAGTGATCATTCACATTATGTCATTTATAAGGTCTGAGGTCAAACTGCAGGAACTTTATGTTTCAAGTGGACATACTGAGAGAAGCTTTGCCATGGCATCTGCTTTACAGTTACCACTGATGCCAATACGACTTTGAAGGCAACAACACATGGTATCTCTTTCGGCTGATCATAAATTGAGGTGTTTCTCCTATATTTCAGCTAAGAGTGAGTGATTTAGTTTTCGACTTTTGATTGTCTGTAAACATGACCGACTATCAGAAAAATCAGATGCACCAGTTTTGGATGACTTTTCAAGTCATCAGGGGCCATCCATTCAAACTAATTATACAAGTAGGAATCGGTGAGTGACAGATCGATGGCAGAATATGCTCCATCATTAAATATACATTATGTTACTCTGAAATACCTTGCTTGATTATTCCTTTTGTATTCGTACAATTGGCTCTTCCCCCAAGCGTGTCGAGTCCGTTGAGATTACCCATGATGATGCTTGGCTTTTAAAGCTGATGTTACAGTGGGCCGTCACAGTCGGTGCGCTCAAGGCGGTCTCCACAGTGTGGACACACAATCGAGTTATGACATGGAATGGGCGAAATGTTGAAAATTGTAAAATCAGAGTGGACTGGGGACATACACATCCACTACGAAATCGAAATAACTGCTTTGTTAGACTGCGTAAGGGATGATTATGTAAACGTCAAGAGATAAGTATTCGTTTCAGTGATGATGCTCGTCGTTGAAACCATTTACCGCGATAACACCCTGATCTGCATGTTCCGAAATAATGTCCTTCTTAGGCCCATCATCGAGACTACGAGCCCTGTCACGCACGATGCCACAGACACATCAACCTCTGTATTGGCAAATGTCCTGATTGATAGCAAAGAATGCTGTCTCCGTGCACACTCTACAAGAAGCGAACCACTACAGAGACGAAAACATTCCTGACTTCTCCACAAATCCCAGAGATATCCTGCGAAATAGCAAAAGGTTTGAGTTTGAAGGCTAGATAATATGTAGTTCCAATAACTGAGAATCTACCCCAACTTTAAACATCATAAACAATATTTAGTGGTTTCAAATTCCTCACTGTTGGCCAATATCAAATTCCTCACCCATCGGAATCGCCTCATCTACCGCCACAGGGGCGTAACCCACAGCTAACAGGATGCCCACTTTAGTCACCTCTTACGACCAGCAATGTGGGACGTATTCTGGCCATAGTCCTCACAGGGAACTGCCCTGTGGGACACCCATTCCCTGATCATATACTTCAGAAAAGGTGGAGTCCACCTGAAGTCTGTATTTTCTTTCTTGGAAAAATCCTTTGATTTCCTCAAGATTCATCGACAATTTCTTGGAATATTCTTCATTCAGGCTGCGTTCCTGGAGAATGCTTCCGACCTTTCTTCTTAGGAAAATGTCTCTTGAAGCTCATACTTCCATGCCCTCTAGAATATCAAACCTGTTTAAATGGGCACGGGGTATCATCATTCACAATCTTTCTTTCTTACAGCTGGTCTAGGTGTAGTTTGAATTTTAGATGATTTCGATGGTGTGTGAGGAAGATTTAGGTGTTGCAGGTGATGTGAGATCACGAACGCACATGACATAAGTGTACATTCACCCAGGTCAAGTCAGTTTCACATTCAATGGATTTCATGGAGCGTATCATCACTTCAGCGAATGTTGGCATGGCTCTCAAGGAGGCGTTTCCAGAAGCTGTAGCTGAAGCGACCATTTGCCCTGCTTCTGAAAAAGCGAATCTTCTTTTGGACACTGTTAAGAGGGAAGACGTGTGAAGCAATCCACATATTTTAAATCAGATGCATATGTATTGCTGTCATGATCTTTGCCAGTGCAACGGTAACAGGCAGCATGTAATTAAATGTGTTCTGTTCATGGTTAAATGGGGAATTTTTGTTTGCTCCCCTGTGGGACATACCGACGGCTCTCTCTCGTTATTCTGCTGTTAGCCCTGGCATTATTTTTGTGTACTTTTCGTTGCAATAATGTCAGTTCATCTCGCGGATCACCTTTTATACCGTTATTGTATGAATTGCACGTGCAGTCACCAATAAACATGAATTTCGAAAAAACATCCATCATAAGCAAAAAACACTGAAGTTGGTGTGTTTAGGCTAATGATTCACATGTTGTGTGTTTGGTATATCATACTGACCACAGATGTCAAGTTTACTTTATGGGTTTTCAAAATAGTTTCGAAATTACGGGTGTAAAGTTTCTATTGTACGTCAGTTTAGTTGTGTAGTTTGGACATACTATACAGCAGAAGACCATTCTCTTTTAAATACATCTGTGTATATCTTGGTTTAACCACACACACAACTTCTTGTGTACAAAGAACACATGGAATGGTCAGCAGGGAAGGGCAAGGGTCTCTAACCGACTGCACCAAGGATACCATGAGGGCATACTGTAACAGTAACGCTGTATAATGTACCCCCAGATTGGCCCCTGGGCCACCACCATTTCGGCATACGACCCCAGTCATTGTCTTTGTTAACGTGCGTGAGTGAGTTTAGTTTTACGCCGCACTCAGTAATATTCCAGCTATATGGCGGCGGTCTGTAAATAATCGAGTCTGGACCAGACAATCCAGTGATCAACAGCATGAGCATCGATCTACGCAATTAGGATACGATGACATGCGTCAACCAAGTCAGCGAGCCTGACCACCCAATCTCGTTAGTCGCCTCTTACGACAAGCACGGGCTACTCAAGATCAATTCTAACCCGGATCTTCATTGGGTCCCTTTCTTGAAACATTGCAAATAATCAAATACATGTATGCAGTAATGAATATGAGCCCGGCAATACGACAGTGCAAGGTATTGCTGAATTTTACACTTGTTGTAAGGGCGCCAGTGCGATAGTATCCCCTCCACGTCACATAGCTTACACAAATCTTTATCTTTCAGAGTCTGGCGGGAGTCTGCGAGAATCATATGTGTCAGCCTGATGAGCAATGTAGGCCTCTAGGTGGCGTTGCAACGTGTATCAAAGGTAATTATATCATAAAAATCTAAATTGAACATGTTACCAAGTGATCACTGCGAGTAAAAGTCTCCGTAGATTGAGAATCAAGCTGCAAATAGTCCAATTACAATATATGTAAAGTAGTTAGACAAGCGTAGTTAATGAACACTTTAGGTTTCAAAGAAACTTTTGTGTAATCATGTTATGTTCAAGAAGAAACATCTCGGGGGCTATATTGTCTGGGCTATATTGGCAGTACTCTCGCTGACCATGAATAGCGAATTCTCAAAATGGCTGATCACAACGTTTATTACATATCAGAAACTGTTTATGGTTAAATAGTCCAGGAGGAGGCAGCTGAAATATTTTAAATCATATCCTCCCCCAGTACTGATTTTATTTGACGCTATTTTCAGTTACTTTGATGTCTTGGGCTCACGAAAATGCCTGTAATACTCTCAGATTGTGGTATCAGTTTGTTTGACAGGCCATTATATGTGATGGGGTCTGGGAGCATTTTAGCCACATTTGGTTTGCTGCCCAACAACACCTCAAAGTTAATCATGGATAGTTTTACTACTATCAATCTGATCACATCCACTTTTACTTCTGTGTATTGCTAAAGGATATAAACATTATTTGACTTATTTTTGTTTTTGAAAGAAAATCAAAATGGCCGCCATTTTGGACGCCATTTCGTTTTGTCGTGTTTTGCCTTCTCAGCGCTTCAATTCAACTAAAAATGAACACCGAATGTTTCCATTTACATCCAAATGGATACTTTTGATGGTTTTTGACACTTGTCTCTCCTACAGTGATGGCTGGAGCACAAAACAAGTCGTTTTGTATGGTCATATCATGGTAATACTTTTCATGGAACCCATGAAGGTCCGGGTTAGAATGAACCTTCAGTAACCCATGCTTGTCGTAAGAGGCGACTAACGGGATCGGGTGGTCAGGCTCACTGATGTGGTCGACACATGTCATCGGTTCCCAATTGCGCAGATCGATGCTCATGCTGTTGATCACTGGCTTGTCTGGTCCAGACTCGATTATTTACAGACCGATGCCATAAAGCTGGAATACTGCTGAGTGCGGCGTAAAACTCAACTCACTCATTTTTCATGGAAATGTGTGGTGGTGATGTATTTATTGAAAGATTTTGATATCTTAATTCAGAGGGGGCGGTGGTTAAAGCGTTCACTCATGACGCCCAAGACCCGGGTTCGATTCCCAACATGGGTACAATGTGTGAAGCCCATTTCTGGTGTCTCCCGTAGTGATATTGCTGAAATATTGCTCAAAGCGGCGTAAAACCATTCTCACTCACTAACTTAACTCAGAGGAACCTTTTCACAAGGCATGATTGACGCCTTTCCATCGTTTCTACTAATTATCCCCCTTTAACTTCTTTGAGCGATCCAGAATAACAGTTCGCTGGAGCAGATCGAATGTTTTTTCGCATTCTTAAATTGAACAGAAGACAGACACTAGAAGATGCAACAATAAAAATTAACAACATAAATTAATCCAATTTTTTCGATCTGTCATAAGACGCTTGTGTGAAAAAGGTCCAAGCCACATGTTGTGCCCAAGAAAATAACCGAATGTCTGGTAAACCGTATCAAAAGCCTGAGAGGAATCCATGTTGTAGCGCTGAATAAGCAATAATCAGTCAAACTTTACGTTTAGTGATTGGACCAAAAGTTGTGTATATTTGAAGAACGCGTTTGAGGGCCTAATGTATGGTTTTGCCTTCTGACTAAGACAACCTGGCTAACCAGTCCAAATCTGACAATGGCGTACGCACTTAAAAGTGGCCACCACGAAGCCCAGACATCATTAACATAGAAATCGTTCTCTGGTGGGTCTCTGCAAAAACTACCATTACTTATGAATGCTAGTGCTTTCAATCACATGAGAGACTGACTCTGATCTGTTACACAGCATGAAACTACTCTGAATAAAACATGCTTGTTTTCACTTTCATCATTCACACAGCGTAACGGAAAGTTCCTGATGACGGGCTGAGATAAAATAATACTATGTACAGATGACAAGATTTTATGGATGATCAACATCTTTATTTTGACAATGGAGACGTTTCGGTATATATTCCTATACCGTTTTCAAGGCTATGGGGGAATGAAGGAGTACACCAGTTTATATACAAGATAAGATAAAGAGATAACAATAACAAGGGTGGGAAAGCAAAGCATCAAAGAAAGTTACATGATGAGCTACAATAGCATGATGAGTGAGTGAGTTTAGTTTAGTTTTACGCCACACTCAGCAATATTCCATCTATACGGCGGCGATCTGTAAATAATCGAGTCTGGACCAGACAATCCAGTGATCAACAGCATGAACATCGATCTGCGCAATTGGGAACCAATGACATGTGTCAACCAAGCATAGTCGACTTTTGTGGCAAGCATGGGTTGCTGACGACCTATTTTACCCCGGATCTTCACGGGTCAATAGCATGACGATCAGCTAAGATAATTAGTGAATGAAAGTTAATTTGGCAGCAGTCAAGGTGGGAAGCCAGTGGTGAGGAATGTCAGTTAGGCAGGTGATGAGAAGCCAGAGTGGGTTGAGTGGATGATTATTTGTGGATTAGGTGGTTGTAAGCTGATGGGATGTAATAGCCCTGGTCCCTGTTAATAGAGGGGTTACAACGGCGTATAATTAATGCCTCGGCCAATTTACGCTGAGTGTAATCATGCTTGTTGTTTGTAGGTGTTTTGACAGTGTCTCAGTTGATGTTCTGTTGTGGAAATTTACCGAAACGTCGCCATTGTCAAAATAAAGAAGTTGATCAACCGTAAAGTCTTGTCATCTCAATACTACAACTTCTAGAATGCCACTCAAACAAATAATACCATGTACATGGGAGACTGTTAAATGAGGACTTGGCGTCGGATTCTTTGCAAAAACATGACTAAAATTGTTAGAGTTTGGAATACATCGGATATATATATATGGGGGACGCCAGAAATGGCATTCACACAATGTGCCCATGTGGCGAATCGAACCCGGGTCTTTGCCATGACAAGCGGACGCTTTAACCACGAGGCTACCCCCACCGCCCCGGAACGTAAAGGGAGTTACATGGTTACCTTCAGAAACCTTCCCACAATATATTTATATTTTGTGGTGTAATTGTTTGAGTTAAATTGTGAAAAAACATTCGAAATGTCGTAAAATGTGAAGTAATCAAGACAGTACTGGGTAAATTGAAATAGTTTAGGTATTTTTGTTAGTGAGTGTTAAAACTAAAGTATTTTTTTCTCTTCATAACAAAAACTAAGCAATAGGTTTGATTAGGAGTCATACAATACGGAAACTTTAAAAATACCTTTCATTATTCGATTCGAGAATCAATTTCGATAAATACATATTTTGTCAGGTTAAAAGATCCCTGCGCACATGGAGCCAGCCTTGAGTGAGTGAGTTTAGCTTCACGCCGCTTTCACGGCGGTGGACACCAAAAATGGACTCCACACATTGTACCCATGTTGGGAATCGAAACCTTGTCTTTGGCGTGACGACGACCGCTTTTAGAACTAGACTGGAGAAGCATTGTACCAGCTGCAATGATGTTCTGTCAGTATCATGGTCAGTGTCGCCTGTTTTCAGTATCCCCGGAGCAATGTACACCACGAAAATCTTATTAGGCAGTTCGTAATTGTCGTGTCACTCTCATCGCCCAAGAGGAAACATGTAAATAAAAATACAGAAAAAATCACTAATTGTTGAATGTATTTCGTTAAATCACTTGGTAATAGTATGTAAGTTAATTTATGATGTAGATTAAGAAAGATCAAGCTGACATGTTTTCTCATGAGTGTGCAAGGTAAGAGTGTATCTTAACATGGGGACATACATTTCCACAGCGGGCTGTTTTAATGAAATCGATAAAACCCTTCTTATAAAATCTCTGCTAAAATCTGTGTTGGTGAGCGGATCCTGGTCCAGCTAGATTCAGGCTCACACATCTGCACGCCGAATTTCAGTGCTTTAAAATCTAGCTAGGCTAGCTGTGCTTCTTATACGGTACACGTGTCCACGCGAGAGTTTCCACGACAATTAAGAATTTTTGTAGGCACAGTTTTACACCTCCAGTGATTACCAAGATCCATTCACTCTGGTCAGCAATGACAGGGGATACAGAAACAAGATTACACGACGTTCTCTCATTAGATAAGAAAAGAAAAACATTTCATAACTTCGTTATAATGAAAGGAATGAAAAGGGTTCTGTGAGTTACGCCAAGGTAAGCAGTGTTCCAACCATGTCTTATCGTCCCGCAAATACTTGCGTTCACTTGCCTACCAATGTTACCATGAGACTGCTCCAGGCTACCACAATCAGCATATCACAAAACACAACCCATCCAGATCCACAACCTCTCTAAGATCTGCAGATAAATATTTATTGACAATTCTGCATCGAAAAACTCAAATCCTTATGCTCCGATCATTCAGCCATGGAGCTTCAAAACTCTGGAACGAGCTAAGACTTTCTGCTTCTGTTGAAACTTTCAAAAGTTCTATAAAAGCCTTCCCTTTGAGAACAACGCTACAAAGTCAAACTTTAATTCAGCCACTTTATTCCTTTAAGCACTGAAAACATTTTTTTCATCATTTGTATGTTCTTGAAATAGTAGCTCTTTGCCGCCGTGATGTTGCTGGAATATTGCTAAAAGCAGCGTAAAACCAAACTCAGTCAGTCAGTAGCTCTTTGAGCATACATTATATATGGAATTCAGCGCGGTAGAAATACACATATTATTTATTATTAATTTACGCGAGGAACATTAGGCCACCAGTGTTGTCTATAGGATTCGAGAAAAAATATGCTCTTTGAAATCATGACATTATATGTTGTTTTTCAGTGAATCGATGTTACACGTTGGTGGATGGACGCGCTCGTTACGCTGGGACACGGTCTACTACAAGTATGGGCTACACGTGTCAGCGATGGGACGATCACACTACACACTCCCACGTCGGCAATGGTGACGACTCTGCATTCTTTCCTGATGATGACAGTGTGGAGGCAGCGGCCAATTATTGCCGTTCACCAACCTCTGACGGGGTAAAAGATCTCTGGTGTTATACCACAGACCCACATAAGCGTTGGGAAGCATGCGACGTGCCTCAGTGCTGAGTGGCACATTCGACAAATGCACCAAACGTCTATAGGCAGTGTAGGAAAGATAGCCCGTCCCAACGTCCGAGACGGATGAATTTTGTGGAGGACGGGTTAAAAAAAAATATCTAGTCCGTCCTCATGTCGGGTCAATTTTAGCAAACCAATGACATATATATAATGATTATAACCTTTTTGAATATTTACTGCCGAAGGTGTTTTATTTATATTTGGAGGACAGGCTAGATTTTGGCAGGACTGGTAAAAAAATTTGACCTGCCAGTCCTGTGGACAGGCTAGATTTTCTGCATCTTTCCTACACTGCTATAGGCCAACTGGCAATTGCCATAATTTTGAAAGACACAGATCTTTAGGGACAAACTGAGACGTAATACTGTAATGGGTAAGTGGATAGTTCTCTATGCACAAATTGGTGTGCACTATGCTGTTGACAGACAGAAATCTGCAATCAACACTAAATTCAGAACTATAGCTTTAAGATTTACTACATGACAAAGTCTTTCATACATATTCACATTAAGATAGCGTCATCGATGCCAATGCAACGGGAAAGATAGCAAGGTAGCCTTCGTCAGACATTTTGAGTGGGATTTCAACTTGGATTGAAGAGACGAATGAACGAGCCGTGGGTATCCAGTGGGCCAATGTCTACCAGGTCTTAATGGCATATTGCCGGGAACTACCCGAAGCAATTTATACTGAGATGAAGCCCGTGATGAACATGTCGTCTCTGTAAGCAATACAGAAAGATGCTATTCTCCTCCTTGAAAACAACTTTGGACGAAGCGATCCAGCTGAAATAATGCAAATATTTGTTTCATATCTTTGTCAGTTTCGATTAATAACATATCAAGAGACTCTTTCATTCCCTAGGGCCTGTGGGGTAGCCAAATGACAGTGTTTTATCGGCAGTTCCAATGGGGAAGGCGATCTAAATATAGTCTGGAAGCGTATGAATACAAATACGGCAAGGTCAAGGTCGCTGCGCACTGACGACTAAAAATATTGCGCCAATTTAAAAGAGTCAAATTCTGACAAATACATCTAACACGTGACACAGTGTCCATTTCAATTACCATATACCTCACTTTCTAATAATAGTTTTTAAAATCACATGTAAAATTTTATTTTCTGATAGTAACCTTACAATTCGAGAGCAGGAGATCGAAGTCACCCGCTGTCACTTCATTCGAGAGACTGGACTCCCATGACTTATTTTAACACATATGGATAATAAAAGAACTTATGAAATCGTACTACATGAGGATTAACGAAATAGCAAAATAGAGGGCCCGATCTGATATGTAGCTTAATTCCCAGATTCCCACATTCTCCTGCTTGTATAGTTGCATTTTGCCTTAAGTTAGTTTACCTATAAGATTATATGAAACTGCTGTTCACTAGTAACTTGTTAATATGAAATTACAATGCTGAATATTACACATCATAGGAACTGCGTACTTGTTGCAGTTATGCCTGCCTTTCATGTATAAAGATTAAACATATGGTATACTTCACTGAATGTGTCAATTTGTCATGCAAAAGTTTTGTCAAACAAACAAAAACATTCAAGGGTTAAAAAACGACATCAAATTCAATCCTTTTATTGACAGTTACATGAATCATGACAAAACCATCGATTCAAACCCCAGAAAATGTGAGAGTAAAACTGAACTGCCAACTATGTTTGAAAAGAAGAAATTTGACAAACAAGATTTACCGAATGGAAAGCCTCTCTCTATATATTCCCGACACAAGTAGGGTGAACTTTGCGACAATGTTCAGGAAGTTTTTTGTTACTATAGCCATGAGAATCTTATGTATGCACAATATCTACAAGCCTTAAATCACTTACTTTCTCTCATTCACATATAAGTACACACACATATATATATGTGTGTGTGTGTGTGTGTGTGTGTGTGTAAATGGTTGATATACACAACCATGTATATTGCATACAACTTTTAAGTCAGTATAACTCATATAAATAAAGGTGTGTTAGGCACCAAAAATATATTAAAATATATTGTACAAGTTTTTGTCTCGTGAAAATATTTGTATGTTATCCGCCATTCTACCATGGCTGCGTGAAATGCTCGAATTTGATTGGTCAATCAATAAAATCAGACGGTATCAATTTTGGATTGAAAATGCGTCTGAATTCACGGCGCTTCACTGCGCACGTATACAACACTGTCGCACTACTTCAGCTTGGCCACCAACATGACTAATATCAACACAACAGACGTGATATAAATGCTTACAAAACATTTATTAAAACTCGAAAAATACAATTATATGATTTTTCCTCCACAATTATTAGGGAAACTCACTATCATATTACCTTCTATTATAAAAATATTCAAACTCAATGATACAATACACAGCCCCAAACATAAACAAACAATATCTAACTTATAAATCAGAAAGCCTTGTGAAAATACATCCCTATCTATACAAAATTTGCAGCAAAACGTTAGTAAACATTTGCCTACCTGGTAAATGGTATATTTGTTTCCGTTTAGAATGGGAAATTCACAAGAACGGTCAGGCGAAACACCAAATTTATGCCACTCATACTCCATCATGTCCTGTTGCATCGTTCAAAAAATAGATGTCAAAACTTGAACCACCAGAAATCTGCTCTCTGCTAGCTTCCCCGCAAGGCTGTCACTGCTGGAGATCTATGTTCGTACACTTTGAAAAAACTTGGCCATAATCCAGTCCCAAATGATGAAAACAATGTTCCAAGGAATCCCAAGTTAGTGGCATGTACACAAAGCAGCACTGTCACTCTTTCGTTGCATGCGGGGGTGGAGGCACGTACGTGAAATCATGATCGACACTCGCCGGTCATAAAAATCAACAGTCTTTGATGAGTTACAGGTCGTAGGTCGATCAGAAAAGGATCTATTCTTCGATTCTGCAGGGTTCAGATTCGACAGTCAGTCAAGTATTTTCCACTGTCACTTCAAATTTCAACCTTTCTCAAAATGTAAACACTGGCTCGTCCGCCATTTCAAACTGTTGCGCTGTCAACAACTACTTCCAAGAAAATAAGTAGGTCAGACGATTCCATTATAGTGTGGCCAGGGGTAGAGTAACACGGCACACAAAACAATAGGCTGGTTTCCGTATTGTGAAGTTGGGATTATATAAACCAAGCTCTTAGGTATCACATTATTGCATTGAATAAACAGTAGTTTGTTTTCTTTGGACAGAATATTTTTTAAGTGGCAGTGTTAAACAAAATACGAACGGCACCTACCACTCCCTTCACAGACGAGTTCAAATCGCCACTCGTCCCATGCCGGATTACGTAGTGTCTTCCGCAGAACGAAGAAGTTCGATTTTAAATCGGTTATGGTAGAATGGAGATAAACATGAAAACTGTGTTTGGTCACATCCCTGATCTATTTTTCTAGATCATCTGTGCCATTTGAGCTAGACCTATGCGGGGTTTGGGATCACCGTGATTAGGTGATATGTCCAAATGTGTGCATCTGTTGCAATAGACAAGGGTGATTGGCCCAACGTTAAAGAACCACTAAACTTTGTTTTTTGTTACTCTTTTAACCATTACATATGAAAGATTTGTAGTTAGTCTTATGCGGAACACCAAATTTATTCATTAAAAACTTGTGGTTAATTAATACCGAGCGATTAAAAGTGGCCAAAAAGTCGCCTGCTTCCCTCTCGCCCGCCAACGAAACCACAGACAGGTTACGTAACTCTGTCGCCAGAGCACTGCAGTGACGTCATATGAGGAACGATTTTCAGTTAGTTGTATGGAAAGTGTGTAGCACGCTCATCATTTTGATGATTTCTCGACATGAACGACGACATGCCGAATCGTTGCTTTGTCGTAAATTGCTCCTAGGGGTCGGGTGATGGTGTCACCATGCACAGATTTCCACAGGACCTCGCAGTTCGTGCTAAATGGGTTATGTTTGTGAGTGCGAAGCGAGCGTTGTGGAAGCCTGAAACGATATCTTACTTGTGTTCAGATCGCTTCACGGAAGTTAAAGAATCAAAACTACTTACTAGTTATAGTAAAAACATAACGATTTCTTCCTCGGAAGTGAGGTTGTGGTCGAAGTAACAATAATATTGTAAGTAGTATTATATTCACACCCACCTCGCTGCCAGGAGAGAAATTGTTATGTTATACGCTATGTCATGCAAAATCCTATTGGCCATCAATTAAATACATATTTTACTACCAGTAGAAAGTAGTTTTGATTTTGTAACTCGGTGAAAACAAACCTAAATAGCATTTATCCACAGACTGGTGGATGTTCCCGATAGGGCGCCGCCATTTTTGAAAATCGTAAAGTCTGTTAGAATTAATGAGATTATAGTTTGTTTTCATCAAGTTAGAAAATCAAAACTACTTTCTACTCGTAGTTAAATATGTATTGGAATCATAACCAAAAGGATTTTGCATGACACAACTTATAACATAACGATTTCTTCCACGGAAGCGAGGTAGGGGTCGAAGTCACAATACTGCGCGATAAATTTCTTGCTACATTCCCATGGTTAATGCCCACTCACCAGTAAGTAGATACTAGTCAATGTGCGTCTTTATATTTGGTCTTATAATCCTAATTAGTTTATTATCATACTTTTATGCATTTTGAAACTAAATAAAAAGCTGACGATCTGCTGATGCTTATAGTGAATTTATAACAGAACTGTAATATCTAGACATTTTATAGTTTGCCAATGTGAATCATAATTCGCACACACACCCTAGTGTATGTTGTCTGTCTCATTACACTTCACGGCGAAAACAATGATTCTGTTGAATGCTACGACAAATGAATAAAAAACAAAATGCAAATATTAAAATTAAAACAGATTAAAGTTATAGGAACAATATCAGGCCTTTACCTTGTTTGAGGAATGTATCCATCAATATCCACAAAACTGTTCCAAATGATGTGTCTTTTAACAGTTTAATATACGAAAAAGTGATAAATTTTTTCAGGTATTGGTGTATAGTCTCATTGGTCACCCAAGATAGCACACCTGGCAACTAATTGCATAATGTCCGCCTTTCATTAAAAACAGTAATTTAGTTAGCCAATAATGGGCAATCAATCAATGTATTGCCGGTTAATCCTTTGAAAGAAGGACGTTGTTTTTACGCAGACACCGACACGGCAGAGTGTATTCAGTATAGATTAGTAAATCTACATACATAAACACTACCTTTTGACAATTCCGCTGTGTAAGATAAAAGTAATTAATCAATCAGCGTGTTATCGGTTAATCCTTTGATCGATGTTTATAATGTTGAATATTTACTCCAGACACAAGAAATGCCAAATGGGAACCTTTGTCGGGTAATCTAAGTGTGTTACCACTAATTATACCTGTTATAAATTCATTAACTGACCATCAAGTGAATGATGACAAATAACATGTGTAGGTTTATACCACCTAACACGGGTTACAACAAGGGAGTATTAATTGCTGTATTGCATGTGAAAACTTATGGGCCGACACTGTTTTGAGAATACAAACAGATTTTTACATGACATGATTAAATATCGAGGGTAAAAAAACACAGAAATGGGATCAATTTGGATCAGTCATTATACAAATAGGGCCTAACGACACCAATCAATTGTGACAGAAGCGTCTATGAAAACAAGTTGTAACTCGGAAACTAGGCAAAGCAGGAGACAAAATTAAATGCCAGTAGATTGTGAGAACATATAGCTTTAATTTTCCACAACAATTGTCACGATTTCAGGTTTATACAAGCCTGTAAACACGATAATTTACCCCCCTAAAATGTAGATGAATTCTGCATCGGCCCTCAAAGCTATTCCTCATATGACGTCACAGAGTCGCGCCGCTCTGATTGGTTGAAATTTCGTTCGCGGGTGAGAATTGTGCACTGTTGTCAAAAAGGTCGATTTAAGTCAATTAAAGGTCGAAATGAGTAGTTTTAATGACGGGGTTTCATTTATAACGATGCCAGTTAGTGATTTATGTATTTTTACCCCCTAGGGTTTATGTGACCTTTAAACTTAACACAAACTCAGTGTCCACAAAAAACAACTCCCAGTAGGTCGTATGTGTGATGCGACCACAGCCTGTCATCGGCGTCTCATGCTCAGAAGGTGTCCCGGTGGTTGCCAAGGGAAGATTGTTCCACTCTTCAGTAAGAACACTGTCTAGTTCCTGTAGTGTTGCCGGAAGGAGAGGGCGTCGTGAGTGAGCGATCTGCCGCTCGCTGCATATGTGTTCGATATGGCTGAGGTCTGATGACCGAGCTTGTCACTTAACGCAACTGTCTCCTGTCCTGAAAAGACCTCAACTAACCACTTCGCAAAGGCCGATCCGATTCACAATCATGTCCAGAATATCAACCCTGTAGCGCACACCTGTCATCATACCCCCGGCAAGACATGGAGATCGCGTCTTCCAGCTCTACTGATCCAAAATCACGATGGAACCGCTCCATAGTGGTCATGTTCGACTGAATTCTGATACTTCACTC